GCTTCTGTAATTACAATAGTTACTGGCACATGATTATATAAATTAATGGAGCAAAATAAAAATCCAAAAGTAGACCAAAGTATGTACAGAAATTTTACTTAATGTTCAAGATCCCTGTGCATTTGGGTTGCTACAACAAAAATACCATGAACTTAGTGACTTATAATTAAAAATTTTTAAATTGATTTTTCACAGTTAAAAGTCTGGGAAATCCAGAATCATGGCACTAACTGATTGTGGTGAAGGTTTGTGTTGTAGTTCACCATAGGCATAGACATGCCTTCCTCCAGAGAGGAATCTTCTGGGCCCCTTTTATGAGGGTACTAATTCCTTTCACGAGGGCTTTGCCCTGATGACCTAATTACCTCCCCCAAATCCTCACTTCTAGGATGTGGAGAAATGGGAATCCTCTTGCGCTGTTGGTGGGAATGCAAACTAGTGCAGCCGCTCTGGAAAACAGTGTGGAGATTCCTCAAAAAATTAAAAGTAGATCTACCGTATGACCCAGCAATAGCACTGCTAGGAATTTACCCAGGGGATACAGGAGTGCTGATGCATAGGGGCACTTGTACTTCAGTGTTTATAGCAGCACTTTCAACAATAGCCAAATTGTGGAAAGAGCCTAAATTGTGGAAGAGCCTCCATCAACTGACGAATGGGTAAAGATGGGGTTTATATATACAATGGAATACTACTTGGCAATGAGAAAGAAGAAAGTCATGCCATTTGCAGCAATGTGGATGGAATTGGAGGGTGTCATGCTAAAAGAAATAAGTCAGAGAAAGACAGATACCATGTGTTTTTACTCATATGTGGATCTTGAGAAACTTAACAAGACCATGGGGGAAGGGAAGGGGAAAAAACAATAGTTACAGAGAGGGAAGGAGGCAAACCATAAGAGACTTAAATACAGAGAACAAACAGGGTTGATGGGGGGTGGGGGAGAGGGGAAAGTGGGTGATGGGCATTGATGAGGGCAATTGTTAGGATGAGCACTGGGTGTTGTATGTAAGCCAGTTTGACAATAAATTATATTTTTAAAAAAACTGTCCCAGATGTTGGGTTTACCAAAGACTTTAAATCAAAAATTATAAATATGTTGAAAGAACTGAAGGAACCATATCTAAGTAATTTTTTTAACCAAGCTACAATTACCATTGATAAACCTTATGTCACTATAGATTGGTTTACGAAGTGTAGGATTTTATAAATGAAATTATATAGTATGTTTTCTTTTTTATTCAGCATAATTAAGATTAATCCATGTTATTACATGCATCAATAGTGTGTTTCTTTTTATTGCTGAGTAACAGTTCATTGTATATACATCCAGCCTTGGCAATTCAGTTGGCCAACTTCAGCTTGTTGTTGGCCAAATCTGATCATCCCTGTCTGCTTATATTATTGTTTATAGTCACTTTCATGCTACAACAGCAGAACTGAGTAGAGACTATATGGCCCAGAACACTGATAATATGTTTTATTTGTCTCTTTACAGAAAAAGATTGTATGCCCTTGTGTACATATATAATCATTTTTTAATCCATTCACTTGTTGATGAAAATTTAAGATTTTGTTTTAGTTTTTGGGTTTTAAAAATAAAGTTGTTAATGAACATTCATGTACAAAAAAAAAAAAAAGATCCTTCTAATACCATCCTCAAAACTAAATAAACTAAAAAAAAAAGTATGTTAATGAAACCATAAATGTACTAGAAGAGAATGTATGAGGATAAAATAGAATGAAATAGGAGAGAATATGGGGAAGGTCAGTCTAATTATAATCAAAATCCAGCAGGAAGCCATAAAAGAAATGATTAATGAGTTTCACTGTAAGTAAAGAATTTCTGCATAGCCAAAATCACTATAAGCAGAATCGAAACACAAAAATATATGCTGAGAGAAACTTTGCAGGTTATATTATAGAGGTGTCATCTTCTTCACTTACAAAGAACTGTTATTTGATAAGAAAATTTTGATTCAAAATTTCATAAGAAAAAGACAGCTCACTGGAAAAATAAAGAATATAAGTAGACACTTTACATAAAAAGAACTACAGATGGCTCTACAACATAAGGAATGATGCTAAACCTCATGATAGTGGAAATGCATGTTATAACTATGCCAGTGTATCATAATTTTGTACTTGCAAAATTGGCAAAAAGCCAAAAGTTTGACTATATGGTCCATAGGCTAGTCTCACCTGTAAGGATATCAACATTTAAACATTGCTGGTTAGGGCCCTCATGAGCAGAACTGCCCTATGGAAGGTAGTTTGGTCATGTCTGGCACAATTATAAATATGCATATTCTCTCTTGACACAGTATTTTCACTTCTAGAAATGTATTCTGTAGATTTACTCATGTGTGAATGGGGTTAGATATAAAGCTATATTTACAGTAATGATTGTCATAGTAAAATTTCAAAACTACCTAAATGTCTATCAGTAGAGAACTAAATCAATAGATTATGGTATAGCCATAATACTGAATCCTTTACAACCATACGAGAGAAAGAAGTTCTGTAAACTGATACGGAAAGATCCCTACATTACATTGCTAAATACAGAAAGCAGTGTGTAGCAAGTGCAGTGGCATAATATGCTTCTGTTTATGTAAAAAAGGGACGGAAAAAATGTCTTACATCATCTTTACACGAAAATTCTCTTGAAGGATAAATAAGAAGTACAGTTTTTGATGGTAAACTATGTGGCCTATATTACCAAGCTGAAGAATAAAGTAATGTTGAACAGTTTGATAGATTTTTAATTCTAGTTCTGTTGTTCTTATAGTAGCTTCCCATTACTCAGAATAAAATCCAAAGGTTCTGTGTGATCTGGCCTCTGCTTAACCTTTACCTCACTATCGAGCAACCTTTTCTCACCCAGCTCAGCCACATTGGTCTTCTTGCTTTGCCTGGAATCTTAGGTTTTGCTGTTAATGTCCTCCATTGCTTAGAAGAAACTCCTCCAGATCTCTACATGGCATATTCCTTTATTTCATTCAGTTCTCAGCCCACATATATCAGAGGTGTATTCACAGACCTATTTTAAATGCTTAAAGTATGTATCCCCTCTTCTCTGCTCTAACTTCTATTCCGGGGCTTGATTTTTCTTTATAACACTACTGGCTAACCTTATTTTGTATTTATTTATTCATTGTCTGTAGCTCCATTAAGACAGAAACTTGGTCTTGTTTGTTGCTGTACCCTATCACTGTGATCATGATTGCACTTAGTGATGTTCAGCAAATATTTATAGGAGAATACTGAAACAATTTCATTTTTTGAGACAAGTACATAGGAGTTTAGGCCATTGATATTGAAAGATTTAAGGCAGTGCAGATTGCAGTCATTTCACAGAAAATACTGTATCTCTGACTATTTTGCTTAATATGTTTCCTCAGTAATTTGTTTTTGTTTTTTACTTTGAATGGAGCAGGTTTCACTATACTATATTAGAAATAGCATGCAATTCTTGATTTGGAAATAATTGCTTTTTACCTGTCCCCAATCATCTTAAACTTTGATTCTTTTGGGGTGCCTGGGTGGCGCAGTCGGTTAGGCGTCCGACTTCAGCCAGGTCACGATCTCGCGGTCCGTGAGTTCGAGCCCCGCGTCAGGCTCTGGGCTGATGGCTCGGAGCCTGGAGCCTGTTTCCGATTCTGTGTCTCCCTCTCTCTCTGCCCCTCCCCCGTTCATGCTCTGTCTCTCTCTGTCCCAAAAATAAATAAACGTTGAAAAAAAATAAAAAAAAAAAAAACCTTTGATTCTTTTTATCTTCACCATTGATAATGAGTATTATTTTTAAAAACTTATATTCTTAAATGGCTGAATTCTAGAAGCCAGTTTGTTTTTATTGTACCTGTATTATTTAAGTGAGTTGAATATTTAATTTTGGAAATGGAGGGGATATGGCAATATTCTACATCTAGGATTCTTTTATAAGCATTTTTTAGTTGTATTGGATGATGCTCTCCTGCTAAACTTAATTTTTGTCTTTCAAACTTGGAGAAATTTATTTCTGCTACAGTTTAGAACTACTAAGCCTAAATTAGAGCATGCATGCAATGGGGAAATTTAAAATAGAGAATATTATGGCACACCTGGGTAGCTCAGTCGGTTAAGCGACCGACTTCAAGTCAGGTCATGATCTCACAGTTTGTGAGCGAGCCCCACATTGGGCTGTGTGCTGACAGCTCAGAGCCTGGAGCCTGCTTCAGATTCTGTGTCTCATTCTCTCTCTGCCCCCCTCCCACTTGTGCTCTGTCTCTCTCTGTCTCTCAAAAATAAATAAATGTAAAAAAAAGTTTGTAAAAAAAAAATAGAGAATACTTCCCTGTTAAGTCTGTAGAAATTGCTTATTTTGTGTAAAAATCTCTTAATTTACATTGTTGCATCTGATTGTAGCAAAATACGGCCAGTATGGCCAAAAAGACTGTTAGAAATTTAAAACAAGTTGAGGTGCAAACAACTTGGTGTATGTACCTGGCCAGCTCAGTCGGTAAAGCATAGGATTCTTGATCTTGGGGTCATAAGTTCAAGCCCCATGCTGGGCATAGAGCTTATGTTTAAAAAAAGAAGAAGAAGAATTTAAAACAACTCATTGTAGTGATATCCTCAGCTTCTTCAAATAGAAATCACTACCATAATTGATCAGTAAAATTTTAAAATATTGTGATCAATGGGGGTGTCTGAGTGGCTCAGTCAGTTAAGCTTCGGCTCAGGTCATGATCTCACAGTTCACGAGTTCGAGCCCCTTGTTGGGCTCTTTGCTGACAGCTCAGAGCCTGAAGCCTGTTTTGGATTCTGTCTCCCTGGCCCTCTGCCCCTCTCCTGCTTGCTCTCTGTCTCTCTGTCTCTCAAAAATACATAAAAAACATTTTAAAATTTTCAAAAAAATATTGTGATCAATTACTTGCCAGAAACATCATAATATGTGATTAGAACTTAAAATATTAGACCTTTTCAATAATACCTTTTTTTTTTTTTTATTTTACCAGGTAGTTTTGGATGTTGGTTGTGGAACTGGAATTCTCTCTATGTTTGCAGCTAAAGCTGGGGCAAAGAAGGTTCTTGGAGTTGATCAATCTGAAATACTTTACCAGGCAATGGATATCATAAGGTAGATGTATTTTGAGGCTTGATTTAAGATTATTTTTAAACATGATGATTAACAGGTCTTCTTGTCTTTAATAGCTGTCTAATGCAGACTCAAGACGTTTGTCTTTTAGTAAAAATTCATTCCAAAATAATAGGATTTTAGGTTATATTGAGCCAGACATGTTTAAACTATGAATAATCTCTTCACAGTTCTCGTTGATGGGAATTACTTTTATATAATTTCCTGTCTTTCCAGTTATAGCTATAAATATGCTAATTATAATAATACAGAATTAGAGGGGTGCCTGGGTGGTTTGGTCCGTTGAGCGTCCAACTCTTGATATTGGCTCAGGTCATGATCCCAGGGTCATGGGATAGTGCTCCCCATTGAGCTCTGCACCTAGCGTGGAGCCTGCTTAAGATTCTCTCTCTTCCTCTGCCCATCTCCCCCATTCGTGCCCGCACATGATTTCTCTTCCTTTCTCTCTCTCTCTCAAATAAAAAAAAAAAATTAAACCAAAATAGTAATACAAAATTAGAAATTATTGACATAAGCGTAGTAATTGTTAGAAGACTCTACAAAACTGAATATTTCAGTTATGTTTCCTTTAGCAAATATCAATCAGACTAAAGACTAAGGGGTATCTTTTTTTTTTTTTTAATTTTTTTTAACGTTTATTTATTTTTGAGACAGAGACCGAGCATGAATGGGGGAGGGGCAGAGAGAGAGGGAGACACAGAATCAGAAGCAGGCTCCAGGCTCTGAGCGGTCAGCCCAGAGCCCGACGCAGGGCTCGAACTCACGGACCGTGAGATCGTGACCTGACCTGAAGTCAGACGTTTAACCGACTGAGCCACCCAGGCGCCCGGGGGGTATCATTTTTTATAGCATTAACCTTTGTGCCTCAAAATTAAAATAAGTAGAGTATCTCCTACTTCTGAGGAGTTAGGTTAATCAATCAAGGATTGATTTTTATGACTGGCTTATGTCATAGTAAGAAGGCCTTTATTTGAACTACAGCTTGTAGAACTAGATATCTTTAGCTGTGTACTTAAAAGCACCTTACATTTGGAACTTAGGAGTAATTTTCAGAGTAAATCACTAATAGGAGCTTCTCAGTAATTCTCTTTTCCCCCCAGCTTTATTGAGATATAATTGACACATAGCATTGTATTAGTTTAAGATACACATTGTGTTGCATTGATATTTTTATGTATTAGTATGATTATCACCATAGCATTAGCTAACCCTTCAATTGCATCACATAATTACCATTTCTTTTTTTTCTTTTTTTTTTAGTGGTGAGAATATTTAAGAGCTATGCTCTTAGCAACCTTCAAGTATATAAATACAATATTATTAACTCTAATCACCATGCATACATTTAATGCCCAATTTCTTAAGTGGTCCTCCCATTGATACTTATGTTCTGTTCTTAAAACTGATTAATGTTAATTCTTCCTTGTTAGCATAAAATATATATAAACATCTTAAGTATAATTAAGATGTTTAAGTTTTTAGATATGATTGCATAATGTAGAAGTATAGTGTTGTGGTTAAGAGTATAAGGTTTGAGTCAGGATTGGTTTGAATCTGTACTGTCTCACTTACCAGTTAGAAGTGAGATATACGTATAAATATCTCTTTGGCACATTGCTTGGCACATAATAGGTATTTGAAAGTTACCTACTATTATTATTAACAAGCGCCAAATTAATGTTAATGAAAAAATTACATTGATCTTGCTTAGATTTTTCATAGATCTAGGTTTGTGGTTATGATTTTCTTTTTTTTTTAAGTTCATTTATTTATTTTGAGAGAGAGAGGGAGAGAGAGAGCAGGGGTGGAGCAGAGAGAGAGGGAGAGGGAGAGGGATAATCCTAAACAGGCTCTGCACTGTCAGCACAGAGCCTGACATGGGGCTCCATCCCACAACCCTGGGATCATGACCTGAGCCGAAATCAAGAATTGGATGCCTAACCCACTGAACCACTCAGGCGCCTCTGTGGTTATGATTTTCATATTGGAGAATGTGCATATGTGTCGCAACTCTGTAATCTAGTAAAGTTTTTCCTAGTTCTTATGGTACCATATGGACATCTTCATCATTTTTGAGGTTCCATAAAGAGTACCTACACTTGCTTGTGCTTTGCCATACAAATATGAAAAACACTAAAGAAGATACTGTTTTAGAAGAATTATCAAACATTTATTGTGGATAGTAAGATTATGGTAAGATATTTCTTTTTTTTTTTTTTTTTGAGAGAGGAAGTGCAAATGGGGGAGGGGGAAAGGGAGAGAGCATCTCAAGTAGGCTCTATGCCTGGTGCAGAGCCCCACCCGGGGTTTGACCCCACAACTGTGAAATCATGACCTGAGCCGAAATCAAGAGTTGGATGTTCACCCGACTGAGCCACTCAGGCACCCTCGTAAGACATTTCTATTAGAAGCTTTATCTTATAAAAGATCATGTCCATTTACTTGTCATTTTTAATTTCTATGAAGTGAGACTAGATGTGTTCTCATTTTAATTTCTTTATGGAAGAAAAGGAAAAGGATAGTAATAACACTCATTTTATTTTGTTTTGTTTTGTTTCATTTTATTTCACATAAAATTCCTACTGACTTTTTAGAAATATCTCTATATAGTGATTACATTCATATTCATTGTGTATAAAATTTAGTGCTGCTGTGTGTGGAACTTTTGCGTAAGAGCATTTATTGAAAATAACTTAGTACTCAATTTTAGGTGCTTCATTTTAACAATAAAAATTGCTAACGTTAATTTAGTACTCTCTATTGAATTTCTTTTGTGGTAGATATAATTACAATATATTATTATCCTTATTATAGAGATTAAGAAATTGAGGCACAAAGATTAAGTTACTCTCCTTATTTGTAGTGGAGCCAGCATTAGCTCCCAGGCAGCCTGACTCCATCTTCATTCTCACAGTCAATTTACTGTGCTGTATCTCCCTTTAACTACTTACAGGGCATGTGTTAGTTGCAGTCAATAGTTTGCTTTACTTAGAATCTGTAGAGTTTGAGGGATACCTGGGTACCTCAGTCAGTTAAGCATCCCACTCTTGATTTCAGCTCAGGTCATGATATGTCTCATGGTTCATGAGTTTGAGTCCCATGTCAGGCTCTGTGCTGACAGCATGGAGCCTACTTGGGATTCTCTCTCTCCCTCTCTGCCCCTCCCCCACTCGTGTGTGCACTCGCTCTCTCCGTCAAAAAAATTTTAAAAAAGAATCTATAGAGTGTGAAAATCCAACCTTTTTGCTTTAGATTAGTTTTGTTTTGGATAAGCCAACATTATACCATTTCTTCAGAGATATTATCCATTGCCTGTTTTATATTGTGAAAAAGTTACTTCCATAGTGTCTATAAGCATCTCTCCCTTGTCTTCCATTTAAAAATTTGAAATTTATACTTGGGTGAAATAACTTTTGTTCTTCTGTTCGTGAATGTCTCTCTAAAAGGATATGCAGGAAACAGTTTACTGTTAATATTCCCACAATTTACTGGCTCGTTATTCTACCAGTTGAAGAGGAGTATAGCATATTCCTCTCAGCATCTGTAATCACATGACTTGATTTCTGATTTTGGCTTTTTGATTAACTAGCTACTTGATAATGGGAAAAGTACTTAACTTCTTTAGTCTCTGGTTTCTTCATTTATAAAATGAGGTTGATGGTGATATCTATCTCCTAAGACTGTTATAAGGACTGAATCCATTTATGGTGCTTTGCAAAGTGTCTGGCATGTGCTGCTTATTAAATTTTAGCAGTGATTGTAATCATATTAGTTAGTAGTAATAGTGGTATATTTAGCTTGGCACCAGCACCCCAAATAATATTTTATGTTTGTTGGTTATGTTTCTAAAATAATCATTTGGGGTGCCTAGCTTGTTCAGTCAGTGGAGCATGTGGCCCTTGATCTCAGGGTTGTAGGTTTGAGCCCCACATTGGGTGTAGAGATGCTTGAAAAATAGAATCTAAAAACATAATAATAATATTATAATAATAAATAAAAATAATCATTTATTGTAGTTGTCCCCCCAAAATATGATAGCTCTCTTTTCTACATTTTTTCAGTTGCTCACAGTCTCTACTCTTCTGTGCCATAAAACTTCCAGATTTGGCCAGTTTTTTTTTCTGCACTGACTCTCTTTCCTTGAAATCTACTCTCAACTTCTCTTATATTTGTCTGTGTTGTATATTGAGGCTTTCTGGAACTATCATCAGTCAGTGAAAACAGCTCTTCCAGTTAGCAGGCTGTGAGTTGTCTTTGGCTCTTCTGAGGCTTCTTTGTCAGAAATGTGTACACAGCAGAATTTCTGTAAAACTCTGTAAGCTTACATCTATAAAAAAGTACTTTAGGGGCGCCTGGGTGGCGCAGTTGGTTAAGCGTCCGACTTCAGCCAGGTCACGATCTCGCGGTCCGTGAGTTTGAGCCCCGCGTCGGGCTCTGGGCTGATGGCTCAGAGCCTGGAGCCTGTTTCTGATTCTGTGTCTCCCTCTCTCTCTGCCCCTCCCCCGTTCATGCTCTGTCTCTCTCTGTCCCAAAAAAATAAATAAACGTTAAAAAAAAATTAAAAAATTAAAAAAAAGTACTTTAAATTCTAAAAGAGAGACACTTTATTTATTTTTCCAATATATGAAATTTATTGTCAAATTGGTTTCCATACAACACCCAGTGCTCATCCCAAAAGGTGCCCTCCTCAATACCTATCACCCACCCTCCCCTCCCTCCCACCCCCATCAACCCTCAGTTTGCTCTCAGTTTTTAAGAGTCAGAGAGACACTTGTAAATGCATTTTTCGTTACTTTTAAATATACTTAGTTTACAGTCCTTGAATTGTGTTCAAAATGATAAAATAATTTGTATCTCTCTTTTTTTTTTTTTAATTTAAAAGAGAGACCTCATGTTTTAAAGAAATGAGTTTAGAATGGAGTAAATATTGATTTTAATATAAACTGACATACATATTAGGGCTTATATGTAGTATATAGATA